AGGCTTTCAAGAAAATTATAAGTAGTATTACTTTTAATCACTTATACATATATTATCTAATTTGAATTTTATACTGTGAAGTACTACACTAATATAAACTTAAATATTCAATCTTTCATATTGCAGGATAATTAAATTAATAACCTCAATATTTGTATCTTGGAGATGTAATGGATATTATATTCGTCTAATTTTTAGAAGATGTAGTTAATGTAATTTTAATTGCTCTTTTTAAAGTCCATTTCTAGATAAATCCATTCAGGTGAATAATATAACATAATTAATGTCACTATCTTACGCTAAAGGCAAATCCTGTAGACACTTAGGCTGTACTCTAACCCATCTGTCTTTCATTTAGCTACAGGTAGGAAAAAGCTCTCCAGCAACATCTTCATTTTCTTTCTCCTAGTTCTTTCCAGTTTCAAACTCATTACAAACGGTGCTCATAAAATCATATCTGCTCGAACCATCCTCACTGGTGGCAGAAGATGGGAGTCACTGATGTCAGCCTGGAACCCAGTATAAAGTGTTACGCACGGTTGCTCAGTAATACATGTTAAACGGCTGACTGGCAGACAGCTCTTCTTTATACTACATTTGAATAAAGATAATTATTCTCGGTCTCTTCACCAGTTGGTTTATTTTATGTAGAAAATTATAGTAATAATGCGTATTTGTTGAGGATTTGCTATGTGCCAGGTACTGTTACATCCAAATGCAACCATTTTAGTCTTCACAACAGTTCTCTGAGGTGGATCCAGTGGTCATCATGCCCATGACACACAGCATCACCAAGAACAGAGTGTTCACTCAAGGTCACACAGCTATGAGGGATACCTAGGATCTGTCTGTCTATCTGAACCACTGTCCGTACTGTCTGAAGTATGCTGCCATACACCTTTTACCAGCCATCAAATCTTCTGCCCTCCTCCAGTAACTTACCTTTTATACAAAGGACGGCATCTTCTAACGTTTACATCTTAAACTCAAATAGGGGATTGTGGTAGATGAACCAGGACTTCACAGGAACTAGCTGTTTTCCTGCCCTTGCTGAGAAGCAGAAGGAATTGTACAGTGACCTCCTGCTTTCTTTTCTGTCCTCTCACAGCTGAAGGCACTGGCAATAGGCAGAGCCCAAGGTTTTAGTTTGCATATGCGTGTTTCCAAGCCCTGTGCCTAGAGAACTGCGAGATTCTCATGTGTCCGGAGGCTCCTTTGCGAAGGGGCCAGGACAGCGTCCAATACATACTCAACTGCAAAGAGCTACTCATCCTTCTCGGTTTTGTAACTGAAGTTTCAAATCCCCATGATGTGGCTCTGAAGCTGTGGTTTTGTTGAGCTTTGCTAACCTGTCCCTGTTTACAAAGCTGAAACTGAAGAGCGAGCACGTAACACAGCTGCAATGTTGGATGCGGCAAGTGGTGTCCATGTAAATGGTCTCCTGCTGTAGGATGCCACTGACGGCATCAGGGCTGCCTTGCAAAGCAACAGACCACAGCTTCACCAATCACGTCCTATCCAGGCCGTGTCTTCTTTTCCCCTTTATTATGTTCCAGGCAGCGTAGATTCCCCTGTATGTGGCTTAAGCCCTGAAAATGCAAAAGGCCTCTGCAGTTAAGAGCTCTCAGGACCAGTGAAACGCTGGCCTGTTGTGGAGGCACAGTTCAGTTTTCCAATCTGGTTTCCATCTGAAGTAAAGCCAAAGTCAGTCTCTGTTCAACCTGTGGCACTTTTGGCCCTTGCTGAGTGATTGGGAAATCTGAAAACAATTCCCCGAATGTTAAGGGAGGATTAAGTTCCAACAGTCATGCTTGTACCAGCTGGAAATTATCCTCTCTTATATAACGTTTGGGAAAAAACTATGTTGTAAAATTTTATAAGAAAGGGAAGAGAATTTAATGTAGTAAAAAAGAAAAACTAGAGGCTCCAAGGAGTGGGGAGGTAAACAAATTCTTGGAATACTGGTGGCTTGTCAGGCAATGTGTGGGTAAATTTTAGTTAGTTCAAATTCATTGATATTAGTTTTTTAAAACATTTTTATAGATTTTTAAAATTTTCAAGATTGGTTTATTTTTTTCCAGTTGTTACTCAATCACTTGAATCAGATTTGATTCTCATTTCTGCCGGCATGGTTGAGAACTGCTCTTTTGCTTTTCATAATGTCAGTCTCAAACATGCCTGATCACAGAGACCACCTGGGACAGTGAAAATCTGTAAAAGTACATACTTCCAGGTCTGGACCCCAGAGGGACTATTCATGTTTGGGATTCAGAATTCTGGATTTTTTCCTTCAAGTTTTTATTTTGAAAATAAAAATATTCAGATCTCTATCTTCACCTAGATTGAGCAATTGTTAAAATTTGCCTCATTGCAGTATGCTGCACCGTTTGCCACTGTGGATAGCCGGATAGATGATGGATGGATGGATGGATGGATGGATGGATGGATGGATGGATAGACGGATAATGTGGCCCCTTTTCGACAAGGCACTTAATAATCTGTTCTAAGTAGTTTCCATCACGGTTCCTTCACAGTTTGCAGTCCCCATGGGTAATGTAGAAACGAACAACAGATGTTTAGTTAGAAGGTTGCTCTCAACATATAACTGTAAAATGATTCTTTTTTATTGTGAAATGATGTCATATATATAAATATGCATATTTAAATATATATGGCCTTTAAAGACTAGTAACATCCCATCGCCCCTATTCCCGCCCCCCCATTACTACTAGAATATTAGCAGGAACCTCAAGCCCCTGGGGCCGTGGCTAACCCTTGCCTGCATCACTTCTCCTCCACATGTTACCATTTTCCTGAGTTTTATGTTACTAATTCCCTAACTTTTCTTTAAAGTTTTCCCCTATAGATATCAGAAAAAAAAGTGTTTTTGTCTCATTTTCCTCCTTTTGAACATTCTTAAATGCTATCTTGTGTTTTCTGATGACTTGCTTTTATTGTTTTGTCCTGTGTTGTCATTTTAGGATTCATCTCTGTTGATGCGTATGGCTGTAGTTTGTTTGTTTCACTACAGTATACTATTGCATCATATGACTGTCCTAGAATTTGTTTATCCAGTGTACCACTGATGGACGTTAGGAATGTTTTCAGTTTCTTTTAATATGAACAGCGTGTCAAGAACATTCTTGTATATGTCCTTTGCATACGTGTGCAAGAGTCACTTGAGGGTACATTCCTAGGAGTGTCCAGAATTTAAGGTTCTAGAAATGTGTGGTCATTCTCCTAAACACCAGAGATTACCATCACTGAGGGAATAGGACCAATTCCTTTGAACTCCTTTGGTTGGCCCAGTTGGGTCTGGCTTTTTGGTGTGCCGCAGGATATTTTTTTAACCTTTAAGACGCATGGGACACTGTACCACTAACTCCAGCTCCAGAGGTGAGTGGAAACGGTCCAAGACTTGTGGAATTCTGACCCATGCTTGGCAAGACAGTCATTTGTTCTGGGAATCTACATACTGGCTTACGCCATGGGGGTGCCCCTTAGTCAGCTCAGAACCCACATTGACTACTCACTCATATGGTCTTCTGATGCTTCTTTGATGTATCTACTCAATATTGGTGACTTTCTACACTATGTGAAAACACAAATGACCACACTCTGTTCTCTGATAAACAGAACGACTCATTGGAAAGAAAATGGACTTTGGATTTAGAAGTACTTGACTTTAGCAGGGCTGGCCATTTACGTGTTAGAGAGATATTGTTATAATTAGAGATAAAATATGAAAAGTACTCGGCCCTTTGACATTTGATAAGCAGTCAGTAAATTATAGCCTTTGTTAATGTTGTTCTTGTTATTTATCATCGTTCAGAACGCAGAAGTCCTAAAATTCTTTTCTCTGATAACTTCTTTTTTTTTTCCAATCTTGATTGAATCCATGAAATCCCTCCCCCACCCCTTGTTTCAAGTCTCATCTCAACTTCTAGTTGACTTCTCTGAGTTATTCTCGTAATGTTCACATTTACACATTTTTTATTCAAATGTTTAACGTGTCTTCTTTTGGCCTCTCAAACATAACGTGTCCCAGTTTGAACTGTTGATTCCTTCCCTCCCCAGTCCCCACCATTTTCCTCTCTATTTCAGTTGATAACATCCCATTAACCCAGTTTCCTGGCCTAAAAACTGAGACTCATCCTTGGCTCCTCTCTTTGCCTTAATCCATCAGCAACTCCTGCAGGTTCTGCTTCCAGAGTATGTCGTACATCTGACCATATATAACCCTCTCCAGCATTCCCTCCCCAGTCTAAGCTCTCACCTGGATTACTGCTGCCACCCCTCCCTCACTGCTGCTTACTTCCGTTCTTGCCCCCTCAAGATAAAGTATAAGTCAGATCTCATCACTCCACTGATTAAAATCCTCCAAAGACTTCCCAACTGCAATTACAACAAATTCCAGGCATTTCCGTGTGGCCCTCAGATGTGATCACACTCTGTCTCCATCTCTTACCTCTGTTCTCTTCCTTTGTTGTGTCTCAGTTGCACCTGACCTCATTCTCTCCCTTGAATATTCAAATCTCAGTGCCACTGCAGGACCTTTGCACTTACTTTCCTGTCTTTCTGGAAGTCTCTTCCCACATTTTTAGTGTAAAGCCATCTTTCATATTTCAAATAGCTCAAAGGTCACCTCCTGAGAGAGACATTCTCTGGACTCCCCATCCATATTTTTCTTGAAATTTTTACTTTGTTTTCTTCGTAACTGTGTTATCTAAATTTAAAGTTACATATTTGTTGACATGTTTTTTAATCTCACCCCGGAAGAATGTAAGCTCCAGCAGTGTCTGTCTGGTTCACTGCTGTATTTTCAACATCTGTAATAGTACCTGGTACATAATGGGCACTCAGTAAATATTTGTTGAATTAATGAAGGAATGAATGAAAGGTAACTGGAGGCTAAAACAATTATAGAACTTTACATGTATCACTAAGTAAAGTAGTAACTATATATATTTCCTGAGATATTAAAATGTTTTATTTTTCAGGACTAATTGGAACTCTTCAAAATGTCAGGTAAGTTTTTGTGAATAAATTTTAATATGCTTTATTTTCAAATGTGAATTGTGTGTTGCTTTCCTTTAAAAATTGGAGTTTATTTCATTTGGAAGTTTTTTATTGTTGTTTACCATTTGAGAAAAAAAATATATATAAAAAAGTATATACAGACAGTCCCCGACTTACTATGGTTGGACTTATGATTTTTCCACATTACAACCATGCAAAAGCTATACTCAGTGAGTAGAAACCGTACTGTGAATTTGGAATTTTGACCTTTTCCCAGGTTAGCGATTCCTGGTGCATCCTCCATCGTGATGCTGGGCAGCGGAGCCCCAGTGGCTCCCAGTCAGCCCACAATCATGAGGGTGAACAACTGAGACACATACCACCCTTCTGTCTGTCACTTTCAGTACAGTGTTCAGTGAATTACATGAGCTACTCAACACTGTATGATAAAACAGGGTCTGTGTGGGATGACTTTGCCCAACTGTGGGCTCCTGTGAGTGTTCTGAGCACATTTAGAGTAGGCTGGGCCGAGCTATGGTGTTCGCTAGGTTAGGTGTATGGAATGCACTTTCATTTATGATATTTTCAACTTACAATTGGGACGTAACCCCATCCTAAGTCTAGGAAGATCTTTGTGTGTGTGTGTATATGTATATGCACATTTATAACACAAGCATTCTTATCTGCCTTTGATAGAAAAAGATTAAAAGAGATTTCTATTGGCACATCTGTACCAAAAGGTCTCTAAAGTATGTAGGGAAAATTAAGTAAAGGAAAAATGTGGGTAAGAATCTAAGTCTGCAAAGAGAGGTAATGGTAATAAAAAGCCCGTGACGCCAGCCTGCTTTCACAGAGGAGGGTTCAAAAGTAGGTCTGAGTTTTCAAGCAATGGAGAAGATGAAAGAAGGAGAGAATCACCGCATTTATGAGATTTATGTTTTTTATAGATAAAAGTCAACCAGTTAAGAAATTGAGAACTTCTCCTTATAGTGAGTCCAGGGAGAAATTTCTCTAATTTCAACAAGAGGACAAGGTGTAACATCATGAAAAGTGACTTCAATACAGTGGTCTCCCTTCTCATCCTGGGGGGATACGTTCCAAAACCCCCAGTGGATGCCTGAAACCACAGACAGTACCAAACCCTACATATACACTATGTTTTCTTTATACATAAACACCTATGATAAAATTTACCTTATAAATTAGGCACAGTGAGAGATTAACAATAATAACTCATAATAAAATAGAGCAATTATAACAATATACTATGATGAAACTTATTGTAGATCTTAAACTCAGCATATGACTTTTTTCTTTATTAAGTTGAAGACTTTCACTTTTTCACTTAAAGGAAGCACTTTATGGCTTCTCTCTGGCATATCCAAATGGCCAGTGTCACTACTCTTGTGCTTTGGGTCCATTAGTAAGTAAAATAAAGGTTACTTGAACACCAGCACAGCGATGCTATGACAGTCGAGATGATAACCGAACCGGCTTCTAAGTGACTAACAGGCAGGTGACGTCTACAGCGTGGATCCCGTGGACAAAGGGATGATTCATGTCCCAGGTGGGACAGAGCAAGATGACCCAAGATTTAATCACGATACTCATGATAGCCCACAATTTAAAACTTATGAATCGTTTATTTCTGGAATTTTCCATTTAATATTTTCGGATTGTGGTTGACTGCAGAAAGCAAAACTGTAGATGGGGGGGGGGGGGCGGCTGCTGTACCTCCCTTGTAGCAACTGCAATGACCTGGATTGCTTTCACTGGAGATGGAGGCTAAACCACCTCTTACTGAGTTTTGTGTGGCACTGCTGCTTTTTAAACCATTTAGTATTTATTGTGTTATGTTTTGAATTTATTTAAACACAGTCATTTTCCAAAAAGGATTAGGGAAAAAATCAGATTCACTCTACGTATGACTGAGTTTTCCATATTATATAATGGGAAAGAATTTTTGCCATTGTGCGGGGAACTTACATGGGTAGGAATCAGTCAGGTCAGCTGAAGCACGAGCATGAAAGCTCTTTGCTTTAATCGTTGCACAATATAATTGCTTAGTTTTATTTTAAAATCTATATTCAGCCTGAAAATTCATCAAATATATTAATAGGTTGATGTCTAATAAGCATAATGAGTTATGTTTTTTGTAAGAAATATGAGTGTATTTCCGATTGATTATACTCACTGATGCATACCAACAAGAAAAAATGAGCATATTCTGTCATCATATTATCATTTCTATTGTAAATCATGTCCCCTCGCTCTCCCTCAAGGTGTGGTCCCCACAGCCCCTGAGAAACCTGCAGAGGAAGGGGAGAACCGAGTAGAGGCTCCTGACCCAAGGCCTGATAACCCTCCTAACTACATGTCCCATTGTGTACAAGGTAAGTTAAATGTTCAGAGAGGATCTTTCCCTTCTCCAGAAAAACCATACTAATAGTTGATTGCTTTTAAAATTAGCCAATTAGTTGAGTGATTCAATAAATAAATATTCAATGCCCACAGGTGCCCAGTAGTTTACTAGATGTCAATTAGAGCATATTCGTAGGCTACTGAGGAAGGGAGCTGTCCAAACATTGATGGTTTCTCTTCCTGTAGTTTGGAAACATGACGAGAGCTCTGTAGGGGCGCAGAAGACAGTAACTGACTCTACCAGGGGTTTAGGGGAAGCCCGAACTGAGGAAGTTAAGTTTTGTTGGCATGATGAGCTTCTCAATCAAAGAAGAGGGAGTGGGGCTGGTCAGGTGGCGCAGCGGTTAAGTTTGCATGCTGCACTCCAGCAGCCTGGGGTTCGCCGGTTCAGATCCCAGGGGCAGACCTATGCACCGCTTATCAAGCCATGCTGTGGCAGTATCTGACATATAAAATAGAGGAGGATGGGTACAGATGTTCGCTCAGGGCTGATCTTCCTGAAAAAAAAGAAAAAGGGGGAAGGGACCATGCCAGGCAGAAAGAACAATGTGTTCAAAAGCACCAGATCATGAAGGTCTGGTATGAGGCTGCATGGGACAAATGGCAGGCACAGTGCAGAGAAATGGAGGTGAATGGCCTTGAGTGTTGATTAAAAGGTTTGTGGTTCTGCAAATATTTTTCTAAGTCTGAATACACTACTGGTGGTGACTCAGGAAAATGGACACTCATACTGCTAGTGGAAATTTGAGTTATTATAGTTTTTTTAGAAAGTACTTGGGCAATGTGTAAAGTTTTAAAAATTAAAAATACACTTACTTTTAACTAAGGAAATAGTTTTAATCAGGATTGTATTTTAATACATTTTAAATGACTTAAAAAGTGATAGATAAGATGTAGAAATATTTCTTTAATGTATATTTAAGTGTCTATTTAGAGGTGGAACAGCAGGGCTTCCTTATCCCCTTTCCCTCCTGTGTCCCTGTGTCGTCTAGATCTGATCCAGTATAACCCCTCGTTACAGACTCAAGCCCTGCTAAATCCAAGGTCTGGACAATCTTAAATTATAATCACGCTATATCTGACGATTTCTCTAAATTTACTTCAATGACTACCAACATGATCTATATAAACTTTTTTTTTTTTTTGAGGAAGATTAGCCCTGAGCTAACTACTGCCAATCCTCCTCTTTTTGCTGAGGAAGACTGACCCTGAGCTAACATCCATGCCCATCTTCCTCTGCTTTATACGTGGAATGCCTACCACAGCATGGATTGACAAGTGATGCCATGTCTGCACCCTCGATCTGAACAGCTGAACCCCAGGCTGCTGAGAGGTGGAACATGCGAACTTAACCGCTGCACCACCGGGCAGGCCCGCATAATCTATCTTATATTCACCAATAACTCTATCCCCGAGAACCTAGATTCCATTAGAACAGAAGTGCCACCGTTTCTAAGAAGTAAACATTGGTTATAAATCACATTCTGCTCATCTGGGAAAGCGTCTGTCTATTCTTCTCTATATCAAAAAATTAGCAAGAGAGTAGCATACAGCCTTCAAATTAAATGACTAGATAAGTTGAAAAATACTATAGTGCAGAAGATACAACTGATGAATTTTCAGTCGTGAAATATACTAACAAAAACTTATTGTGACCGCCACCTAGTGGCTGAACTATATACTTACTTATGATGCCTGACAAATTGTGTCCCTGTAATTCACATTAAGGAACTTGAAATACTATACTTCAAATATTTGGCATTAATGAATTTCTTTGAATTCAACTAGGTAATTTTCATTTGAATTATAGTACTGGATATGTGTTGCCATTGAAAATAATATCTTCCATATATGTTTAAAAGTATGCTTAATAACGAAATCTTTGTTGTATGTAGTCTATTTAAAGAGAAAATGACACAATTTCTTGAAATAAAAAAGGATGATTATATTCAAAATAACTAAGAGCACAAATCCCATAAAGCAGCATTTCTTTCAGTGTATTGGTAGGACAATTCTCCATAACAGACTTTCTTTAAATAAGTGTGGAATCCTATAGTTACACAAAGTTAAACGAGTTTTTTTTTCCTGCAGAATGAATCAGAACTCTTAACAGCAATTTCAAAGCTCAAAAGGGAGTAAAATAGGCTTGTTTCCCAAACATAATTTGATCATGTTTTTTCCTTCACTTCTCTTAAAATCTCTGAATAATACATACTTATAACAAAAATCACTTGGCTACATAAATTTGTATATAATTTTTCTTAGGAATATAATCTTTATACTGAATAGCCCCATAATCTAAATTATAATTTTCTTTCTGGTTTATTGATCCTCAAATTTTATTACATGAGAGACTTTTATATTAAAATCACACAGTTAATATCACAAGAATTAACCATCTACTCATTGAAATGATATAACAATTAGTATTCTTAAGATAGTTTATATGACTTTTAGTTGCGTCGTTATTTTTAATAATAGTTCTTAAAAAGCGAGGAGGGATATCTGATTTCCAGTCCAATTTGAGGATTCTAAAGGAATTGAAGTATATTCTTCAGGAGCAACTGAAGCATGTAATTTCCTCCTTTCTTTTCTAAAGACATTGGGTCTTTTTTTCTCCCTTAGCTTTAATTTGACATTGCTTTTCTTACTGTTATTTTTCCTTTAGTCTCTCCTGACTCTCAGTCTCTATCCAGAGCTTGTATCCCCTACCTTTGAAAACTGCCCTTCCCTGGAGCTCCTTGGTCCACTGCCCTGCCCTGCGCTGCCCCGCCGCTCGCTCTCACAGATTCCATTCCCCCTCCATTTACATGCTCTCCTCAGAGGTCTGGGTAATACTCATGGTTTCATTTGCCTTTAACAACTTATGAAGCTCTTATCCCCTGCCGGTATCCATCTCCTTCCTCTAAGCTTACATTTCTAACTGCCTGTAGTCACTTCCCCTGGGTGACCCTGGACTCAGACTCAATGATCTTCAATCCGACTTTGGTGTTTTGCTCCTGAATACATACCTTCTAAATTTTCTGTACTCTGGAGATGCACAGGGACCCTAGTCAGAAACTTGAGACTCTTTCCTTGCCGCCAGTCTGTTTCTAAGACAATATTGTCTCTTGAGTGTCGATTATTATTTCTCCACTTTCTGCTCCTTTCATCTCAATCAAACTTCCTTGCCTTCCGTCCGGACTCCTACAGGCATGTCCTGCCTAATCTAACCTTCTCATTCACAAAGGTTCTAAGTGTAAAACTAATCACTCCACTTTCCATTTTATCCGCATACAGTTCAAGTTCTTTGCACAGAGTGTAGGTCTTTCCTAATTCTCACTCCCTCCCCACCTCCTTTCTAGCCTTGTCTACTAAATCTCCACACGTGGCCTTTAACCCCGCAGGACTGAGCCTCCCCTGTGCGACGGCTCGCTTTGCACCGGTTCTCTCTGTAAAACCTTCGCCCATCACGGAAGTGCTGTCTGGGTCTAATGCGTCAGCATTTCATCATGGGGGACCTCCTTTGCCTGGGTTAGGTGTCCTTCCTTTCTAATCCCTTCACACCTCATGCTTCTACTTATGGTTACAGCAATTACTCACTTCATGATAACCAATGACTTTTTCTCATAAATCTGTGTATCCTCCACAGAATTGGATGTCCCTAAAAACAGATGTGTCTTTGAACATCTTTCTGTCGTGGTTGCAAGCACACAGCTGGTCCTTGAAATGGGCTTGAGGAATGCTTCCTAGATAAAGAAATGTTTGATTTATCTCATAGCCTTACTTTCAGATAGTTTTAGGAGAAATGGCTTCATAATTCATGACTTTTATGAGTGGGATTTTTACGTGTAACCAAAATGTCCCAGACCTCATCAGCCTCAAAAGCCACTCTTCCCTTTAATGCCCGAATCACTGGAATCTGAGCCTCTGTCCAGTTTGCCTTACAGGAAGTGCCATCTTTGCTTTATTTCTCATCCCAAAGAACTTCTCCGGCAATGTCCTTTCCTGCTGGTGGCTGGATTTCTCAGCATTGGCTGAGCCCAGACCTCTGCTTGGCCTCTTGGCTCGTCACCTCTTGCTGTCCTGCGACCAGCTTTCTGCTGGCTAAGCTATTTTTTCCTGTACTGTGTTGTCCCCTGGGAGGTGGGGGATGTGCAGAACCTAAGAATTTCAGGACTTGAAAATAGCGGCCAGCTAGAGTTCCCCTTCCAGTCTACGGTTCCAAGGCTCCCTGCAGAATCCTGTTTTGGATATTCCTCTTCCCAGCCTCTGATCTAGGGAGAGTATTAACATAATTTATTTGAGGATGCTTGTGTTTTAGTTCTGACTCTGCCATATATTAGGTATTGACCTTTGAGCAAGTCACTTAACCTCCTTATGCTTCAGTTTCCTCCTCTGTAAATGAAGGACAATAAGAGTACCTACCACATAGGGTTGATGTAAAGATCACAAGATTTAATACCTGTAAAGTACTTAGAACACTGCCTGGCACATAAGACCTCGGTAAGTGTTAGCTATTATCATGTTGGTTTTTTTTAATAGTCAATGTAGCTCCCTTTAACAGGAGTTCCAGATCTGCCTGGTTTCTAGGACCCAGGAGAGCAGCATCTCCACTTTACCCTACTCTCTCAAGTCTTTTTCCTTCTGCAGAAGTGAGCTTTTTGAAGAACAGCGGCCAGTGGAACCATCCACATTTTTCAGGAGATATCAGTCCCTGCCCTATACAGCTGTGCACATTGCTTTTTGGTTACAGAAAGATACCAGATTACCTAGTCTGTTGACCCACGGTGCCCATGGCCTGGGTGACCTAGGGAAATGTGGCACCATTTGTGGAGCTTCGTCATCACAGCCAAGTTGGGCTTCCACTATCCAGTCTTGTTCCCTGTAGCCTTCTTACCTGGACATGAGGTGGATCTTGGCTTCTCATACCTCTTGCTGTCATCTGCCCAATAATTCTTGAGCAGATATACAAGAAAACACAGATATATGCACCTACATACACTATAAGAACAAACAGTAATTTTCAGAAAGAACCTACAGTTTAACCTATATTTAGGTCAGGTTCCTTTTTTCCTCAAGGAGGGAATCCACAGAGAATGATCTCCAACCGTGGTGAAAACAAGCTCCTGTGTAATTATACATCACAGTTTTGTGACATTGTCTCCATCTTTTCCATTCCGGAATAGAATCTTTCCTCTCTTTACATTGGTTAAATCAAAGGGTCTTTAAATCAGTGGCTTTCAAAAATTCTTGATGATAATTTACTATGACCCACAATAAACAATACATATATATTTGTATTTACTTATATATGACCAACACAAATTTCACTGAGCAGTACTCAATACGGTGTGTATACAGCACACGGGCAGTATAGTATTTTCTATTTTATTTTAGTTCAGTCTAGTCAATTTTATTTATAAAAATTGCAGTTGTGAATCATTAAATTGATTTCACAGGCACAAATCTCTCTACCATTTTAAAACACTGAGTTAGAACAATGTTCCTCAAACTTAGTTGTTGATGAGAATTAATGAGATAGCTGTACTTGTATTGGACAAAATATACTTTAAGACAAAAATTGTTATTAGAGATAAAAGACATTTCATAATAATAGAAGTGTCAATCCATCAAGAAGACATAACAATTGTATACATATACATATACCTAAAAACAGCTCCAAAATACACAAAGCAAAAACTGACCAAACTAAAGGATGAAATAGATAATTCAATAAATTAATTGGAGACTTCAATACCCCACTTACGATAATGGATAGAACAACTAAGGAGAAGATCGAGAAGGAAATAGCAGCGATAAACAACACTATAAACCAAAATAGACATAACAGACATGTATAGAACACTCTACCCAACAATAGCAGAATATACATTCTTCTCAAGTGCACATAAGACATTCTCCAGAATAGACCTCATGGTTAGGCCATAAAACAAGTCTCAATAAATTTAAAACAACTGAAATCATACAGTTTATTCTGCCACAATGAAATAAAGTTAGTAATCTATAATAATAGAAGGAAATTTGGAAAATCATTAATATGGGGAAATTAAACAATACACTCCTAAATAACCAAAGAGGCAAAAAGAAATCACAAGAGAAATTAGAAAATACTTTGAGATGAATGAAACAAAAACACAATATACCAAAGCTTATGGGATGCAGCTAAAGCAGAGCTTAGAGGGAAATTTATAGCTGTATAAACCTACATTAAAAAAGACAAAAGATCTCAAATCAGTAACCGAACTTTCCACCTTAGAAATAAACCAAACCAAAAGCAAGCAGGAGGAAACAACTGAGATTAGCATAGAAGTAAATGAAACAGAGAAAAGAAAAACAATAGACATAATCAACAAAACCAAAAGTTGGTTCTTTGATAAGATCAACAAAGCCAGACTGACCAAGAAAAAATAGACTCAAATTATTAAAGTCAGGAATGAAAATGGAAACATTACTAACAACCTCACAGAAATTAAAATGTATTATAAGTGAAAACTATGAACAATTGTATGCCAATAAATTAGAAAATCTATATGAAATAAACAAATTCCTAGAAAGACGCAAGCAACTGATACTGACACAAGAAGAAATAGAAAACCTGCATAGACCTATATAACAAGTAAAGAGATTGAATTAATAATTTAAAAATTTCTGACAAAGTAAAGCTCAGGCCCAGATGGCTTCATTAGTGAATTCTACCAAATACTTAATTAGGATTTTAATACTAACCCTTTACCAAAAAATGGAAGAAGAGTGAAAGCCTCCCAACTCATTCTATGAGGCCAGTATCACCCTATTAGCAAAATCAGACAAGACATTACAAGAAATGAAAATTACAGACCAATATCTCTTATAAATATAGATGCAAGGGCTGGCCCTGTGGCATAGTGGTTAATTTTGTGTGCTCTGCTTCAGTAGCCTGGGGTTCACAGGTTTGGATCCTGAGTGTAGACCTAGCACCACACATCAAGCCATGCTGTGGTGGCATCCCACATACAAAATAGAGGAAGATTGGCACAGATATTAGCTCAGGGACAATCTTCCTCAAGCAAAAAGAGGAAGATTGGCAACAGATGTTAGCTCAGAGCCAATCTTCCTCACACACACACAAAATATATAGAGAGAGAGAGAGATGCAAAAGTACACAACAAAATACTAGCAACATGGTAACCAAATCCAGCAACATATAATAAGGATTATATAACATGCCCAAGTGGAGTTTATCCCAAGAATGAGATGTTGATTTATCATATGAAAATCAATCAATATATGTACCATATTAATGCAATATAGGGCAAAACCCACATGATCAAAATCAATAGATATAGAAAAAGCATTCAATAAAATGAAACATACTTCATGATAAAAACTCTCAACAAGCTAACAATAGGGGGGAATTTCCTCACCCTAATGAAGGGCATCTATGAAAAACCCACAGCTTAACATCATAGTTAATAGTAAAAGCTGAAAGCTCTTCCCATAAAATCAAGAAAAGAGAGGATATTCCCTCACGCCACTTCTAGTCAACATTGTACTAGAGGTTCTAGCCAGGGCAGTTAGGCAGCGGAAAGTAATGAAAGTCATCCAGATTGGAAAGGAAGAAGCAAAACTCTCTCTATTTGTAGATCACATGATCTTACATATAGAAAATCCTAAAGAACACACATGCACACGCACACGCACACGCACACACACACAATTAGCACTAATAAATGAGTTCAGCAGTGGGAGTGTAAAACAGTGAAGCCACTTTGGCAAATCATTTAGCAATTCCTCAAAAAGTTAAAGCAGATTTCAGTCCTCAGTATATACTCAAGAGAATTGAAAACATATGTCTACACCAAAACCTGTACACCAACGTTCACAGCAGTGTTATTTATAACAGCCAAAATGTTGAAACAACCCAAGTATCCATCAACTGATTAATAGATACATAAAATTTGATATATCCATACAATGGAATATTACTTGGCCGTAAAAAGGAATGAAGTACTCCGAATATGTGCTACAAAATGGATGCACATTGAAGGTATGATGTTAAGTGAAAGAAACCAGACACGAAGGCTGCATGTTACATGATTTCATTTATACGAAATGTCCAGATTAGGCAAATCTGTAGAGACAGTGGTTTCCGGGGGCTGGGGCAGAAGATGGAGAATGACTGCTAATGGGTGTGGACTTTCTTTCTGGGAAAATGAAACTGTTCTGGAGTTAGATAGCAGTCATTAACAGCACCCTATTGAAGTTAAGTAGACTTACTGTCTTTGTGACCTTAAACAATGATAACAATAAACATAATAAAAATTTACAGTGCTGATTATACGCTAGGGCTTGTGCTAATCTTACTACAACCTATTGAAGTAGGTATATTATAATCTCCAAAGGAGAAACCTAATACACAGAGAGGCTAACATGTTACTTGATGTCTCAAACCTTATTTCCACACCTCTGAAATGGGAATAATTATCTCATAAGGTTTAAGAGGATTAAATAAGATAATATGTAAATCTCCTCAGTACCCTGTTGGTATGTGGTATACATTCAGAAAATGGAACTTCTGGGGGGCTGGCCCAGTGGTGCAGTGATTAAGCGCACACGTTTCTCTTCTCGGCGGTCTGGGGTTTGCTGGTTCAGCTCCCGGGTGCAGACATGGCACCGCTTGGCATGCCATGCTGTGGTGGGCATCCCACGTATAAAGTGGAGGAAGATGGGTACGGATGTTAGCTCAGAGCCAGTCTTCCTCAGCAAAAAAAAGAGGAGCATTGGCAGTAGTTAGCTCAGGGCTAATCTTCCTCAAAACAAAAATAAATTAAAAAAAGAATAAAATGGAACTTCTTGTTATTTTTTAAGTGAATGTTGTGTGATCTATATTATCTTCATTTAAAAAATCATGCTAACTTCCAATATATTATAGTGTTGATAGTGTATAACACTTTTATTTGTTTTTGAACACAGCTGTTCCTCCACCTGCCAGCTGCCCAGGAGGCTTGCCTATGAGATTCTACAGTCCACAGCAGCCCAGTACCTTCCCCTTGTACCAGCCAACTAGTGGTATTGATCCTATCCAGTACCAGCCTGGCAAACATCCTATGCCAAATCAGTCGGCTCCAATAACATGGATGCCAGGACCAACTCTTATGCCAAACTGTCCTCCTGGTCTGGAATGCTTAGCCCAGGTACTCCACATAAATCCAAATTATTTTCTTGTGAAGTGTGACTGATCTGACAAGAAGAGACAAAAGGCTAGATAGATAGAGAGTGATGGGTCAGTGATGACAGATGTCCAGTTTGTGAGACTTTAGGAATGGTACTACGAATATCAGAAATGTGAAGGAGGAGCAAAGAGGAGAGGAATGTTTTTGGTGGGATGAGTATGGTTTTCTAAAGGATGTATGCTGAATTTTAAGACAATCAAGATGTCCTGTTGAAGGCAGTTTAAAAAACAGGAACCAGTTTAAAACACAGGAACCAAAGAAAAACTATCAAAGATGCTAATTGAGGTGTCATTTGCTTAGAAGTAGAGTTAACGTCAAGAAAAACAGCATAAAAAAAGAACAGAACAGTAGACAGTGAGTGAACTATGGAGGGCTTCAGCCCATTGCTTTTTCTCACCAGCCATAATTTTCATTAGCCATTCCTGCCACTCCCCAACCATACAGTGTAAGTAAAAGTAGCGAACCCACCAAGGATGTTGCTTCAGACCAAGTTCCAGAGAACTCCTTCCCACAATACAGTGACTTCTTATTTTCTGTCTTTTTAGACATTCTGGAGCCACCAGGACATTCAGATCAGAAACTGGGCCAATATGTCAAATTGATGTACCAAATGGTATTGTTTAAAAACACATGTCAGAAACTAAAAAGAAAAAAATGCTTAATGAAAATAAGATAAAGCTAGTATTAGAAAGCCCTTAGAAGCAATTGAGTCATTGTTTTGCTTTTAGAAGAAGGAAGTGTTGGAATACATTCTAAGCAGGGGACTTGCCAGTTCAATACGTGTCTCCCCACATGGTCAGCCAGATCTTCCTTGGGGTTGACATATTTCTCTTCTCAGCTGTATACTTTGATAGAGACCCTGTTAATCCTATGCATTGAGAGCCATTGGTACAATGTTATAGTGCGGATATTTAAAGCCAATACAGTTGCATAAGGAAAACTGAGATTGTACATGAGCCAAAAATTTTATTAAATTATTGTTTTGGCAAAATATTCACAAAATACAAAGCCAGTCATTCAGGTACACAGTCCTAGAGGAAACCCCTGCATTATTTCAGAAGCTTATAAAATGTTTATCGTTAAGTTTAGAAGGTCTGTTTTTTATACTTGATGATAAATATGGAAATCGTCCTTAGAAATCCAAGATCTGGAGTCATTTCTCTTTTAAAAATGTGAAGCTGTAATATGCATTTAAATATTTTAAAAATGTTTTTTTAAATTTCACCTATTATTCTGACGGAAGTTAAATGAACATATTTTATGAATTCTATTTTCTCTTTCAGGAAGGTTTTGAATTAAAACATTAAATGAAAAAAGAAACAAAACAGATTTGGAGCCAGACAAACCTGGTTTCTAATTCTAGCTCCACTTCCTCTTCACTGTACAACCTTGAGTAACCTTCCTGACCTCTTGGTGCTTGAATTTCATCATCAGCAAACTAGTACTAGCAATACGTACCTTATTACATTGTTAGGAGAATTTTTAACAAAATGAAGTTTGTAATGTGCATGCTAGTTTGGGCACCCAGGGCCCACCCAATGGGTGATCGCTGTGTGGATGTTATTTGTTGAAATACCTTATATGTGATTGGAAGACCCAGAGCCAATCATTCTCTTTATCATGTTCTTTATCTTAGTGTTTTTGCAATCTCAGGTGCAGATTACGTGAATCTTTATCAGGACTATCAAAACTCCGTAGCATCCAAAGTAGCAGGATTCTGTTCTTTCTGGAGTGTTGGCTTGGTCCGTGACTCCAGCAAATTGTTAGAGAACTTCTCCTAACAGCTGTAGTGTCTTACTGGGTAAACTTCATCTGCACTAACGGGCATCATTTCTTTAGAATATTTTGCTCAGTAGTGCACGCTTTTAGCAAGAAATGAATATTTTTACTTTTTACTTCTAGATTTTAACATCCTGGATTTTCATTTATTTATTTATTTTTTTAAGGAAAATTAGCCCTGAGCTAACATCCATGCCCCATCTTCCTCTATTTTATGTGGGATGCCTGCCACAGCATGGCTTGACAAGCGGTGCGGACGTAGGTCTGCATGGGTATCCCACCCGGCGAACCCTGGGCCACACAAGTGGAACGTGTGCACTTAACCACTGCGCCACAGGTCCAGCCCCCATCCTGGATTTTTTACAGAGACTATAAACCACCTTAGTGGCCATTTTTGGTATTTTATAAGACATTTCTAGAGCACCTCACCTGATTGTGTTTTTATACAAGAAAAAGCTTTTAATGGAGGAAAGATTGTATCATCTCTATAACCTCCTGTAATAAGTCATACCACAAAACATCCATGTCCAGTTATTTCTCATTTTATTTGTTACCATATTCATGTATTTTTCATTAACCAACGTATTTAATGAATGTTTGGTGAAATACGGCATTTCAGGGAGTATTCTGGGCTCAGGGGTTAGGAAAGATCTAATTATATTATCTAAAATTATATAGATATGATTAGTCCGACTTCAAAGAGTTTTCTTTTTTTCTGCAAGAATGTTCTCAAGTTTAACAGATAATAGGCCCCTTAGACTGTCTGTAGAGTGATTCTTAAGTAAAGTTAAGGTAGAAGTTTATCTAATGGTATTCCCAACCTCCCTTTTCAGGAGATCCCATCCCAGAATGTTTCCTCCCCTCTGCCCTAACCCTTCACATGCTTCCTGCCTTCATGGACCCTCCTTTTATTAAGGATGCACCTAGGGAAGACCCTGGCATTAGTAGCTCAAGTGAATAGAATTCAGTGTGTTAACCTTCTCCAGAGGTACCTGTAAGACACAGTCATGCGCCACATAATGATGTTTCCATCAATGACAGAGCACGTATACAACAGTAGTCCCATAAGATTAGTACCATATAGCTTGGGTGTGTAGGAGGCTGTACCATCTAGGTTTGTGTAGGTACACTCTATGATGTTCCCACAATGAAATTGCCTGAGTCATTTCTCAGAATGCATCCCTGTCGTTAAGTGATGCACGACCGTAATATAAAACTGGACACTCCTGTGTGAGGTCCACCCTGGCGAATTCGCTCTCTGTGAGTCCACTGAGAAAACTGCTTTCACTATGGCTTGTCTGTGTTAAAACATACTGAACTTCCTGAGCAACTCCAGTCTGGGTGACATGTCAGAGAGATCAGTGAGTAGGGACTGAGCTAGGAACGAGCTATGCCAACACAGGTTCTTCTAGATGCTGTTACTGTAGTGGGAAGATGATTTTCTGATATACCAGGCAACTGTTTATCTTTTAAAGTAGCACTCGAGAAAAGTGGTTTTCCTGTCCAGACAGCTCTGCTAATAACCATCTGATGAGGTGCAAATGGGCTAATTTCACTGGATAAAATTTTTTTTTGATTGCATTCAATTTCAAAAATATATTTTAGTGTCAACTGATGCATTTTAATGTCTCATCAGTTTCTTTTCTAATGCTGACTTGATTTAATTCTGATATCTCTCTCTCCTAATTGCTTTGTTCTATCCCAACAGTTGGACAACATACACGTTCTTCAGCATTTTGAGCCTCTGGAAAGTATGTACAATTTTGTAGTGTCCAGCAGTATGTGAATCAGGTGGAAATTTGCATTATCCAGTATCTAGTTGCTTATTTGTATTGATCACTTTTTAGTAGTGGGAAGAGAGAAGACTTTTCTCTATTACCCTTTCTTCAAGAAAGTAATTGTTTTGTGCAATTTTATCCATTTATATTTCAGATGTAAGCTCTTAGACTTGAAAAGGACTTACACTTTATCTGGTCACCCCCATACCCCTTACCCACCCCCTCTGCTTCCTGTTCACTTTTCATGCACGAGAAAAAGAGACAGCCAAAGCCTAAATGAGCTAGCCAGGGGCACCATAGTCAGCTTAGCAGTGACAGAGCTAGAAATAGAATCCAAGTCTGCTGAATTCTTGTTCAGTGCCCTTGCTTTGGAAGTAAGAAGAAATCACAGTAAACACAATACCTGTTCTCAGTTCGTCCTCACTAGATTCCTGACCTCATGTCGCAGACCTACGCATTCATGACCACCACATAGAGCCTTTGACTTTCCTTGGCTCATTTTCTTATTTGCAGTTAGCAATGACCCTCATCATCTCAGCATAGTTCATGAGCTGATTCATTTATGGTCCAATGTATAATTTTATTTAAATAGTTTTATATTTAAAGTTTTCTGAATTTAGGTACTCCAAGAATACTTTTTGAATCTTTGCTTTTGTGTGGAATAGGTTTTAAAATTATTTTATACTGAGCTTCTTAAAAGAAATGTTTTAAATTTTCAAAATAACTTAAGTACTTACAGGGCATATGAGTTACTATCTTGATGTTCTAATCAACTGCGTATATTTCACCTGAAATTTTTAAAAAACTATTTCGTTTTAAGCCCCTGAAAAACACTACAAAAGGCCTTCTTGAGGCCCATTTTAACTGCTTCTAATTTAAGATGGCTTTCTCATTTTATTTTTTAGAGGTGACAGGTTTTGAAACTAATAATAGATATGATATTAAAAATGACCTGGACCAGATGGTGTACATCGTAACTGAAGACACAGATGACTTTACCAGGAATTCTTACCGGACGCTAAGGCCCTTCGTCCTCCGGGTCACTGACTGTGGGGGCCGAGAAATCATGACAATGCAGAGACCTTTCAGATGCACCTGCTGTTGCTTCTGCTGTCCCTCCGCCAGGCAAGAGGTCAGAGAGCAGAAGTCTAATCCATTGTTTCTTTCTGTTCCACCTCTTCACGGCATGGCTGTGCTCCTTCAAAAACTACACAGGAGGGGACTTTCACTGGCTCTGCCAGTCAGAATGAGAGAAGATAGTGGGGAGGGAGGAAGCCAAATTGTCTCCCCTACAGAAAATCACACAGGACTTTTTCTTGTGGGTTCATGTCTCTTGCTAGTTGGTGGGTCAAACTGATAGAACACAATTCTGCCAGTTTTGTCTCCTGAATTAGAAATTTACCTATCACCTAGAACAGATTTATCTAAATATAACTATGTATCCCCAGATAAGGTGATACTAAGCACAAACATGTGCTTTTAGAATCGGAAGAGACTTGAGATAACTTTACACTATGCATCATAACCCATCCCTTGCTACAGGGAAAGAAAGGGTGGTACAAAAGGTGGCAAAGTGCCTGAGGATGGTGTTACACTTTACCGAGCACTGGGACCAGAGTGCGCGTGCGCTGGCTTCCAGTCGGGTTACTGTTCTATGACCTGTGCAGCTCTAGGAAAGTTGTTTGCTGCAGGGAAAAGAAAAGCAATTTTAGAGAGAGGTCCAAGAGAATTTGAATTTCACTTATGCCACGTACTTAAATTTGGCCAGCTTACTTAACCTCTTTGAGCTTCAGTGTTCTTATACACAAACTGGGCAGAACAATACCCTTTAGGATTACTGGGATATTTAAATGATATGCTAGGTACTAGTGTTTACAATGGCAGTTTTTTTACAGCCCTCTCTGTGCCTTGATTTATTCACCTGTAAACTGAAGATATTAATAGTACCCATCTCATAGGATGATTGTTTTGAGGACTAAATGCTAAATAATTGTCAACTGCTTAGCACAGTGTCTGGCAAACAGTGTAGTGCTCAATGAATATTAGCTAGTGTTGTCAGATATCTTTCTTCTTTTCATTCTTGTCTTTGTAATATTAGCCTTATATTTAAGTTGAACCTCTACCTCTTATCCTTGATGCTGTCAACCCAAGTAACCAATAATCATTCTATAGATAGGAGAGAGAAGGTAAGTCAAGCTGAGGATTATAACCTGGGAGAGCAGCCTTCACAAGGGAAGAAAGCGCTCTGGAGAAGCGTGGTTTTCAGTACAGTTTTATATCTTTTTAGAACAAAAAGCGTACATCAAACACGCCCAGGATACATATTCATCAAGTTTCAAAGAGATATTCAGCTGCAAATTACCAGGTTAACATGACCCTGATGTCTGGGAAAGGAAACTTATCATCAGGAGTGCTGATACTGGCGTTACTGATACTGGCGTCAAGAAAGGAAGCATGCGTCCTTATCTTAAGGGTGCATTCTTTTCCTTTGAGATGTTTAATGCATTCTTTACTTTAATGGTTAAAACAGATGTACAGTGTATGTTTGATAGGCCATAAGTCAGGCTTCTTTAGTTCAAACCAAATCAGTTTAAGCAAGAATAGTTACCCCGTATACCCCCATATGTGAACATCTCTTGTCAATTGCATGGTAGGCATTTTTCGTCATATTTATGAGTCGAACTTAGTAAATCAAAGCCTCTAAGTGCAGCCTTCCAAGATTATAGGAAGCCAGCATAGAGTAGATAAAATTAAAATTACAACCTTAGTCCAATGCATAGAATTTTTGTCCCACAACTTATCTAGATTTTTTTCTGATTTCTCCAGTTTTGCTTGTATTCATGTGTGTGTGTGTGTGTATTTAGTTCTACGCAGTTTTGTCAGCTGTGTAGATTCCTGCATCCACCACCACAATACAAATACCAAACAGTCCAATTACCACAAAAAAACCTTTTTATAACCACAGCTCCCTCGCCCTCCTCTTCATCCCTAACCCCTGGAAACTACTAATCTGTTCTCCATCTCTATAATTTTGTCATTTCAAGAATGCTATATAAACGGAATCATAGAATATGCAACCTTTTAGGATTAGCTTTCTTCACTCAGTGTAATTACCTTGAGATTCATACAAGTTGTTACATATATCAACAGTTCGTTTCCTTTTATGGCTGAGTAATGTATCATGGTATGATTTTTTTTTAAGCAATTTATTTGTATACAGTTTTGATTTTTTATCTTTTAGGCCTAAACTTGTATGAGATCTCAATCCTAGGAAACTATCAAATTTATATGTTTGTATATATGTGCGAATGTATATATATGAACAGTAATATCTTGATCTGACAGTTCATGAAGCTGTATAGTCCTGCCCCATGGTGAGACCCAGGGGACTCGAGATTCTTAGGAGAGTATATATGACGCCAGAGAAATCATCAGTAGAACTTTTACTTTGGGCTTTTACCAAATAATTTAATTTTATGACTCTTTTGTTACTAAATATGAAGATCTAAGTTCTTCACAAGAGAATGTTGTAAAGATAATTAGCTAAAAGAAGGTAGTGGACAATATTTTAAAACTCTTTGAAAATAGCTTTATATTCCCATACACACTTTCTGCTGTTTTTACAATATACAATTTTTAAAATGCTTCGTTTCTCTTTTATTTTCTATGATAATTGTCATGTCTGAAGATTTAAATCTAAGAAGTTAGCATGTTGCTTTTTCATGGGTTATTCCAGAAGACATGAGAGCCCTAGATCAGAGACAAAGAACTTTATTACTGCACAGTAAGCAGCATGAGCATCAGCATGTTGTGTAGGTCCGCTTGTCTTTAAGTTGTAAGGGGTTGACTCAGGAGCCCAGGCAGATGCTACATATATAGCTGAGGACAACTGAGCTTGGAGAACTGGTTATTTTATAACTAACAGTAACTTTATCCCAAAGGGAAGCATGACCTCATCTCTCAAGGCTGTTCACTGAAATACAATGTAAGAACCAGCCCAGGTGAAATGGAAGCCTCTCTCCCAAGGACAATTTCCCCAGTCCTTGAAATAAGAACACATCTATGTTGTGTGTATGTGTATATGTACGTAATCGCATCCTCGCCTCTGTCACTGCTTCACTTGCAGCTGGAGGTGCAGTGTCCTCCTGGCGTCACCATTGGCTTTGTTGCGGAACACTGGAACCTGTGCAGGGCAGTTTACAGCATCCAAAATGAGAAGAAAGAGAATGTGCTGGGAGTACGGGGGCCGTGTTCAACCTATGGCTGTGGTTCAGATTCTGTTTTTGAGGTAAACAAATGTAAAAATAATGTTTCTACTATTTTTTCTACATGTACTGACAGCCCTCAGAATGATCTGGTTTTAGATGAATTTTCCATGTGAATGAATAAAGTAGTATGAGGAAAGAGTTAATTAACCAGTTGACATCAAATGATTTTCAAATAATTGTTAGTGGATTGCTTAATGTTTTCCAAAATGTGAGCTTCTTTTTCATGATTTCAGTGTTTGATAAAGGTAAGAAGAAATCACTTAAAACATTAAACCTGAGAGGAAATAGCTTGACCTAATCCATTCATTTTATTCTTGGCTGCATTTAATTAACCATTTTTACAAAGATTTCCAGGATCGGAATATAAGTCCTAAGTAATGAAAGTGCATAACGTATCACAGAACATAGAGAGCACCCCTGAGGTTATGCAAATTGCTTGTTTGCAGGATACAAGTCTATCCGCATCCTCAAGAAATAGGACAACACTGACAACATGGATAAAATGCAGAATAGGCTATGACATTTTCTCAGGAAATAGAAAAATCCTTTTGTTTTGCCTTTATCTCAGTGGCTACAGAATGATTGCTTATTCCCCTACAATTCTGACAAAGGAGATTCCTAGGAATCTTCTTAAAGAGTTCTTTCTGAATGCCTTGCAATTCAGCAAGACTCATCATTTAAAATTGCTCATTCAGGTAGTTCCTGTGACACGCAATAAATTTCCTTAGTTCTCATTTTACCTCCCCATGTCATCAAGCATTGCTTGACAGAAGACCATTGTAGAGAAATAGAAACTGTCGATAAGCCAAATTTCAGGGGTAGATCTGTGGATATTCTAATCACCAAGAGTTAGTATTTGAGTATTTTCCTTGTGGCAAGTGCCAGGGTCCCCCTTTCAGAAGCTGAAGCCCTTCAGATCCTGGTGTCACAGAGTGGATGAGGCCCACACAAGCTGGAGTGATTATAGGAAGTTTGACAAGTGCACAGAACCATGCCTCCTTGCTTTTGATCCTGTGTTTCCCTCAACTGGAGGAGACACCCTCCCCATCCCTAATTCCCATCCTTTGGTATGTTGAAAAGAATTTCAAAATCAATGAAAATCATACCTCCTCTGACAGACTCCCCTAATAACTCATTTGAGGATGAAGCGAGAACACTGGCCTGAGATTATAAGATATATCACAGTTCAGTCATTAACCCGTTGCAAGGCATTAAGCCTTCTTGGACGTAATTTCCTATTTGAAGTTATATTATTACTGTATTCATTTCTTGCACTATGTTGATGCTATCTCAGTGTAAATGGCTTATAAAAAGAAGACTGAAACCTGTATTATAATATCTTTCAATCATCATAAAGTCACGTTCTTATCTCTCTAGGTCATATCCCTTGATGGTGTATCCAACATCGGCAGTATTGTTAGGAAGTGGAATGGTTTGTTATCTGCAATGGGCGATGCTGACCACTTTGAGATTCACTTCCCATTAGACCTGGATGTGAAGATGAAAGCCGTGATTTTTGGAGCTTGCTTCCTCATTGTAAGCCTTTTGCTTTTGAGTTATCTTGAAAGAATTATTCTTTCTGATGAGGAGCGGTGTAGTACAGTGGAAAGGAAATAAGCTTTGAAACTAGGCCAACTTCTCTCTCTGCCACTTACTGGTTACATGTTATGCAAAGTGTTTAACACTTGCAAGCCTCAGTCTCTTCATCTCTAAAATGGAGATAAAAATAGTTATATTTTTCAGGGTTTTGAATATTAGCTATCATATGAGTAAAGGGGCCAGTAGAGTGCTTGGAAGATATTAGGCATCCAATAGGTGTAATGGTCATCATTGCCTGTATTTATCATTCTCACTATTTAAAGAAGCCTGTCCTATGATTTCTTAAGAACTAAGATAACTCTAAAGCTGATAGTCTTTTCCTCCACCTACTGCCCCTCTATCAGTGTACTCCTTGGTGGTGTACCATCCTTAGATTTATTAGGTACAATTCCCTTGCTGTATTTCTGACTAACTAATGGTTAGTATTCATAAGTTAAGCATAGAAATAGAATCCATAGCATTTACCTAAAAACCTAATTACCATATTGCAATTGGTATATTTAACATGTTTAATATTGATTTTCAAGTTTTTCTTCCTTTTAACAATGAAGCTTTAGTTAATTGGTACCCCAAGTGGAAAGCTTATTGGCCGCCAACAGCTTCAAGTTTGTAATTGCTACTGTTCATACTAGATTCTCTTCAAAAAGATTTCTTTGTTCTTAACTGGAATGGGAGGATTACCTGCTACATTATAAAGGATAATATTTTATGCCTTGAATCTAAGTATTTGTCTGCCTACCTACATATAATTCTATATTTATCTATCTATCTACATATAGTTGTATATTTATTTATCTACCTACATATAATTCTATATTTATCTATCTACATATAATTCTTTTTCCAATTTCAGGACTTCATGTACTTTGAAAGATCTCACCACAACGTTCATCAAGATAGATCGAGACAGTAAATCAGCAATTATAATTAATAAAAACAAATTTAGAGAAGTTGCTTGGGCTTATGGTCAATCCTCAATTATTTGCAAATACATTTATCTGTTTTTACAGATTGCTTGTAATGGGTGTTACTTTCACAGGTGGGCTGAGAGTATAAGAGCAAGAACACTGTCTAACCACGTGTTTCAATTGAGTATCTGTCTCCTTGTCTATGTAGTAGACTAGGAGTTCACCCTGAGAGCACTATGACTCGTTAACCAGGTAAATGTATATACAATGAGCTTGAAAACACTTTATCGTGAGATAAGGGAAAATGCATCCCAGAGCTCTCACATTAATTGGTAGCGAAATGGTGGGGTTTTGCGAGCAATCCTTGAGGAGATAGAGTAATATGGTTTCCATCTCTAACACTGTCCTCTCCATCAACATGTCCAGTTACTGAAGACAAATTTGATTCCAGGTGAAAAGAACGATACTCTTCATCTTTAAAAACAAAAAGAAAGCAGACAGACATATTGTTTTACTGCACAAGGAAATTTTTACTTGGGCACATGTATCAAAACCTCTTTTTGCAAAGTTTATGAAAGTTTTGATGGAAATTTTGATTTTATTGTAAAATAAAACATGTTTTTTATGTGATAAGGTTTATATTTTCCATGTCTGTTCCCTCATTCACCAGCATGGACAATCAGGGGCTGCCTATATGTGGAGACAGGGTCAGACCATCAGGAAAAGAGGTGACCAGGGCCACAGCCAATCTAGATCACTGAGCAACTTAGAGACATCAGAGCCCCATGAGAAGCTTGCATTTAATGCATTTAACCTCTCTTGGTCACAAACACCTTATGGATAAAATACATTAAGCTGAATCTCTAAGATTGTCTGTTGAACTTTTGTATCTCATTTGATATGACACAGAGGATATAATTATTTTTTCTTTCAAGAAGTCCATGGTAATCACCGTGCTGTTCTAATTGAAAGAGTTGGCGTTTTGTTTTTAAATTTTGAAATGTGACATTCTGTACAGCACTTTGTAAAAGCAAAACCTACAAATTCTGATACTGCTTAACATTGCTTTGCTGCTTTTTATTTCAATGATAGATAAATCTATATCTGTCAAAGAAAGTTCTAAAACACAGCAAGCATGCTACTTCTCTGGGATCTACAGCTTGTGAGTACAGATTATGTAGAATCAACATAGTTAAAGTATAAATTGTATGTGTTTGTGTTCACTAGTTAGAAGCAGAGTGTGTTAGTGAATACACTGATGAGTCAACTTGCAATTATTGCACTTCAGCTTCCTATCTGGACAAGGACTGTGTTCTTTCAACGCAGCCAGTAGGTAGACTGGAGTGTATTCTTCTGCTGCTCCTTATTAAATAAAGCCAGCCCGAGTGTCCTTAGATGTGGTTATCCTCAGATGAGGGCCTTCGCTCACAGTTCTTATGGACGTGAAAAAAATGTGCCCCATTTTTAACGGTAGTCATCTTTTCAAGGTAAAAGTTGTTTTACTTGGTTTCTTGTATTGTTTATTTTTATGTACTACTACCAGCTTTTTTAAAAAAGTGTAAAAGCTGCTGCTTTCTAAAATAATAATTACCTTATATTTGAAAGTGCAATTGCAGTCTTAAACAGACATGCATATTATTTCCTGTAATGATGTCTGACATTTTATGTAGAAAATCAGACAGTGTTCAGAAAGCTTATCTATGTAAACTTTCCACTTTTACTTGCCTACATGCCTTCATTCCAAGACCTGCTGCATAACACTAAGAAAAAATTATTTCCAGCATGATATTTTAAATTCCTGCTTAAAGTCTTTATGGTATTATGTCTCTTACAGTTATAATATCTTGTTCTTTAAAAATAATACCATGTGTCTTACATTTTTATACCACAGTTCATATAATTTCTATATTTCTTAATGGGATTTCATTGTGTAAAATTGATCAGATTGATTAATAAAAACAAGCTATTCTCTCAAATTTGTGTTTCATGCTTCCTGATATTGTTTTTGGCTTTTAAATAAATGTGTGGTTTACAGTAAAATCCTGTTTTATTTTTTGATTTGTGATTGAGTCTTTGCTGCAGACTGAATATTTTATCCTCCCCCTCCCAAATTCATGAATTGCCCCAATGTGATGGTTTTAGGAGGTGGGACCTTTGGTAAGCGATAGGTCATGTGGGTGGAGCCCTCATGAATGGGATTAGTGCCCTTAGAATCTGCCAGCACCTTGATCTTGGACTTCCCAGCCTCCAGACTGTCAGAAATAAATGTTTGTTTAAGCCATGCAGTCTACAGTATGTTTGTTATGGCAACCCAAACAGATTAAGACAGAAAGTGGTACTGAGAAGTGAGGGTGCTGCTGTAACACCTAAAAATGTGGAAGTGGCTTTGGAACTGGGCAATGGGCAGAGGTTGGAAGAGTTTTGAGGTGCATGCTAGAAAAAGCCTAGAGTGCAGTGAATTGAATTTTAAAGATGATTCTGGTGAGAGCACAGAAAGAAAAGAGAAGAGCTAGAGAGAAAGCCTCAATATTCTTAGAGAATCCATAACTAATCCTGAACAGAATGTGGGTAGCAATGTGGACACTAAAGGCCATTTTGATGAGAAATGGAAATGAGATGGAAATGAGAAACCTATTATTGGGAGCTAGAGGAGAGGTGATCCTGATACTGAGCAATGGGCTCCCTCTGCTTGCCTCGATCTGAGCCAATTAATCACGACGAGTTAGGGATCAAGAGAGGAAGTTTAATTAGATTAGCTGGCTAATCAGAAGACAGGTGACTAATGTCTCAAAAACCCATCTTCAAGGTTTACAGAATCTTGAGGCAGTTATATAGGGAAAATGGGCAGTAAGGAGGGGGTCCAAGGATGTTGGTCTCCAGGCTTAATGGGCTCCAGGCATCACACTGTTCCATTCTTCTGTCAGCTGTGATGGACACCTTGTAGATGTGTTTCCCACCTGTGGTCACTTTGTTCCTGGAGAGAAACTCATAGAACAAAGTTTTAATTTATCAAGGTATCGGGGAGTACATACATAAGTGGAGGCCATAAATGAGGAGAGCATGTGAATTTTTTAGAGTATGTGCAGAGCAATGAGTAGTCACACAGAGGAGGGGCTGGCGCCATTTAGCAAAACAAGATGGCCTCACTTTTGCTCACTTAACAATCCTTGTTATAAGGTGTCAAAGAACTTGACTGAATTGTGTTTATGTTGTTGATGCAAATAAACAGTAATCAATCTATAAATGAAAATTGAGGTGAGTTTAATATATATAAACCAATTCTGAGGATTATAGCCCAGGAGAGCAGCCTCCCCCAGGGAAGGAAGAACTCTGGAGGAGCGAGATGTACAGTATGGTTACATACAATTTTGGAACAAGGAACATACATCAAATATGACGGGAATATTTGAAAAGTACCAGGAATACTTTTTTTTTCTTTTTGCTACAGTCACAAGATGTTTTGCTACATAGAGCAGATCAATCTGACCCTGGCTTCTGGGAAGAAATACTTATCTTTAAAGAAATGCTGATGTGGGGGGAGGCCTCCATTGCTATCTTTAAAGGCTGCATATTTTCTTCGGGACACTGTAAATGTTTAAAGCAGATGTGCAATGCATGCTCGACAGGCCACGTCAGGCCACTCTGGAAAATAAGGTCAGGTCGAATCTGTTTTAAACCAAAATGCCTTCCTCATATACCTCTATATACTAACTTTCCTTATTGCTTTTCATTTACTCCATCAGTGTTCCAGTGTTTTGTGGAAACTGGGATTTGTGAGTGATGAAATTGGATATTTAGCTGAAGTGATTTCAAAGCAAAGTGTTGAAGGTTCAGCTTGTCTCCTGACTGCTTATAGGAAACTTCAAACAGAGAGAAATGACTTAAAGATGGAATTGTTAAACAAAAAGGAAGCAGGATTTAAAGATTAGGAAAATTCTCAGCCTATCCATATTACAATAAATGAGAACACTAAGGGCGTGGACAAGGGACTGATAAAGAGATTGTATGGATCAGCCAAGAATTATTTTCCAAGACAATGGAAGAATGACCCCAAACAGGATTCAGAGATCAACAGAGCTGCTACTCCCGTTACAAGCCCCACTGCAAGGGCCTGGGGGGTGGAGCAGTTGAAAGGAGGGGCCACCAGCACTTGTGGGACGTTTGTGCAAGCTGCCTGGCACCACCTCACATGTTGGGCTCTGCTCTCTATATTCGTGCCATGCTTCTCCACCACCCCAGATGGGGCTCTGGCAGGCCTCAGTGTGTCACGGGCTTCAGTGGCTGCCCCTCCAAAGGGCACAGGCAGCAAACTTTGGTGATGTCCGTGTGGACTGGTCTCTGCCGAGAGGGAGAGTGCAGAGGCCAAAGAGGCGTGGCTGCCTCCAGCTAGATTTCAAAAGATGGGGCCACCAGGGAGAAGCACAGGCTAAGGACCCCAGGCCCAGAGAGCCATGGAACGCAGACAGTCTCTGTGGGGCCTTCCTACTGAGCCCTGGGGGTGACATTGCCACCCCAGTGGGCCTAGAAGGCAGAGCATTGAGTCAAAGAAGATGATTCTTGAGCCTTAAGGTTTACTGTTGTTTGCCCTGTTCAGTCTTGGACTTACCTAGGACCTGTCACTCCTTTCTTCCTTCCTAGTTCTCCCTTCTGGAATGGAAATATCTATCCTCTGCCTGTCCCACCATAGTAGTTTGGAAGCACATAACTTGTTCGGTTTGACAGGTTCACAGCTGCAGAGGAATTTGCCTCAGGATGAATCTTACCTTGAGTCTCACCCATACCTGATTTAGAAGATATTTAGATGAGACTTTGGACTTTTGAGTTGATGCTGGATCAAATTAAGACTTTTTGGCTGTTGGGATGGAATTTTTCTCACATGTGAAAAGGTTATGAATTTTGGAAGGCCAGCAGCAGAATGCTATAGACTCAATGTTTGTGTCCCCCTCAAAATTCATGTTGAAATTTAATCCCTAATATGATGCTATTTGGAGGTGGGGCCTTTGGAAGGTGATTAAATGATGAGGGTAGAGCTCTTATGAATGGGGTTAGTGCCCTTATGAAAGAGATCACAGGGAGTTCCCTTGCCCCTTCTGCCATGTGAGGACCCAGTGAGAAGAGAGCCATCTGAACCAGGAAGCAGGCTCTCACCAGACATGGAAGCTGCCTGTGCCTTGATCATGGACTTCCAGAGCAGTGAGAAGTAAACTTCTTTGTTTATAAACCATCCAATCTATGGTATTTTTGTTTTAGCAGCCCAAATGGACTAAGTCTTTGAATATGTTTTTTCCAAAGGGATTTTTGAATCAATTTCTTATTAATGATCAGGTTCATTCATGGTCCTTGCTTTCTTTTATAAGTTTAATACTAATAAAGTCATTTCTGTAATATTCTGTAGTAACAGCTAGCTCCCTGATGTAACCCAGTTATTTATAAATGCTTATTTCTAGTTCAGTTATTTAAGGCAATTTAAATTTTATGTGTGATTTTAATGGCAGTATATCATGCAGGAAAGCTGTTAGAATATGTAGCTGTCAGTGAGGGATGTATTTTAAAACAATTTTTTCTTATTGGCCAGATTTCCCAGAAATTTTACAAAAAGCTGGTTACCAGACTAGTTTGCTAGCTGGATTTTCCAACCAACTAGATGTTAAATTAAGTTCAAGTACAGAATAAGCAATGATTTCAGGGAATAGCATCCTGCCTCTCTCAGGACAGTTGGCCTCTTTTCAGTCTTTTTTATCCCAATGTTCAAAGTTTAATTTAATTTATATTAAAGATGCAAGCTTGGGAAACCCATACGTCTGGGTTTAATAAACTAATACCAAATGCCTTTCTGGTATTACAAACAAAACCTTTTTGGCTAGTGATAGCTAATATATAAAATGGGTCTTTTCCCATTGGTTGACCTTCACAGAATGTATTCTTCCATTGGCCTCTAGGCCTCTTAAATTGTAAATCCCAGAAAAGAGAAAAACAGAATGATACATTCCAAGTGTAGTCAAAGTGAGGCAGCACAGGATGCTATATGGTAATGCTTAGCATGGTTAATAATAGCACATGGTAAGCATTCACTCAGTATCTGCCTAATGAATAACAATACAGTCAGTGGATATAGTCTGTAATACTTATTATAGCAGCCAGGAGAAGTTTTACTGTCCTCCCCACTTTTTCATTCTATCAACAGTTACTTTATTGACTATCTACTAAATTCAGGCACTCAGCTGTTTCTGAAGACAGAGAGGAAATGCAAAGGTGAAACAGATCTAATTACTACTCTCAGGGGTTCACAGGCTAATGGATGAGACAGACTTTCAAACAAACAGTATACACATGTATGAGGACCACGATGGACCTGTGTTCAACGGGATGTTGGCACATTTGATAGAGGCCATGCTACTAGCACCATCTCAGGTGCTGTATAATATATTCCTGTTCCATTTAATCAGTTTAGGCTGGCTGGTTGTGTTATATGCTCAGGATGTGTCATACACCCAAACTTCTTGGCACTGCTGGGGTTGAGTAAGATGCATTTTACAGTCTTGTCTACAAGCTGAATCCGTGTTAAATACAATTGAAAAGGTCAGTTTAGTGAATTAAGCAAATCAGGGATTGATTATTACAGTAAACACAGAGCCCAGGAGAGTGGTACATTTAAGATGCTCAGCGAATATTTGCTGAATGAATGAAAAAAGCCCTAATATGTGCATGATTGTGCTAGGTATTCAAGGGGAAGTCCTCTATCCCTCAGGAAGGATGAAGCAAGTAAGTATGTAATTGCCACACAAAGTTAAAGAATTATTGCATAAAAAATTATTTTGTTTGAAAATGTATATTACTTGATGCTCATAACTGTATCATGAGAGAAACGTCCACAGCACTTTTCAGAGGAAGAAACAAACTTCATCACGAGGTAATAGTAAGGAGGAGATGGGTGCTAAGGAATTTCTTCCTCCCGCTGTAATTGTAACGAGGGAAAACTGAAGGAGTGGATAAAAGTTGAGAAACATAAACGCTCCTGGAAGAGGGAAAGCAGAGCAGGG